AATATGATAATGAGCACGGGTGTTCTATTTAACTTGAACTTTGGAAATAAGACAAACACTACATAGACTTTTAGATATTTTATTCTCTCTCCGTCTTCTGTCTTTCACTTTCCATATGATATCCTACCTAACTTGAAAAAAAAAATGCAAAAAGAAACAAGCCCTGCCTCTTTCTTGTGTCAGCCGAGAACATCACCCCTACAGAAACCAAAATTTCAACTTCGTTGCCTCAATTTTATTTTCTTTCTTTTCGATAGATATTCCTACCTTCACCCACAAATCCCTCTTCTTCCTCAAGCACATCTATTTTCATCCCTTTCCTTGCCAGCTGTGAGACTTTTCAAGAACAACTTTTACATCATACAGAGGAAACAAATTTTGTTGAATGACCTCATTTTTTCATTCATTGAAGCATGGTTACAAGTTTTGTATATAAAGCAAAAAAAAAAAAAGAATTCTAGTGTAACAACCTGCTGAGGTGTCACATACTAAAAAAACAAAAGAGTAAAGACCCTTTTTGATCCCTAACAAAAAACACGGTCCCCACTTTAGTCCCTTACAAAAATAAATTAGTCACTTAGTCCCTAACAAATTTAAGGTGGACCCATTTTAGTCCTTTTGAGGGACTAATATGGGTCTTTTTTGAAATTGTGAGGGACCACGATTTCAACTAAATGGGTCCACTTTGAATTTGTTAGGGACTAACTGACTAATTTATTTTTGTAAAGGACTAAAGTGGGGACCGTGTTTTTTGTTAGGGACTAAAAAGGGTATTTACTCAAAACAAAATAAAAGATTCTATACAAAGGAAAAAATAAATAAAAAATAAAATTGGATTATATTGTAATACTCACCCTCAAGATGAAGAGTAAATATTAAGAACTCCCATCTTGGAAAGAAGCAAAGAAAATTGCCCAGGAAGCAAGGCCTTGGCCATCAAGTCAGCCAAGTACTGAGAAGAGGAAACAGGGAAAGTATGAAAAGTCCCATTAATAATGTGTTCTGGAACCAAATGATAGTCAATCTCAATGTGCTTAGTGCGTTCATGAAAAACAGGATTGGCAGCTATATGTAGAGCATCCTAATTATTGCAAAACAAATGTGCAAGGGCAAAATTAGTCACATCAAGATCACGTAACAAAGAAAAAAGCCAAAGGACATCACAAGTAACATTAGCCATTAAACGATACTCAGCTTCAGCAGAAGATCTCAAGATGGTACTCTACTTCTTAGATTTCCAAGAATTATAAAATCACTTACAAAAACACAATAACCAGAAACAGACCTGTGAGTGGCCGGACAAGAGGCCCAGTCTGAATCAGAAAAAGCATGCAGCTGAAGCTGAGATGCGGAGGAAGAGAAAACACCTTGGCCTATAGAGTTCTTTAAGTATGCAAGAACCCAATGCCCAGCAGCCAAGTGAGGAACCCGAGGACAAGAAAGAAATTGACTAAGACGGTTCAGTGCAAAACACAAATCAGGTCTAGTAATGGTGAGATAGAGTAATCTACTAATCAATCTCCTGTAAGAAGTAGGATCAGCCAATGGTTCGCCATCATGCAATGAGAGAGTTAAATTGGAGTCCATTGGTGTAGAGTGAGGCTTACAACCTAGCAAACCAAAATCATCCAAACCAAGAAAATATTTAAGGGAACCAAGATCTTTAAGCTTAAAAACATCATTTAAAATAGAGGTAAAAGTCTGGACAGCAATAGAATCATTAGAAGCAATGATAATGTCATCAACATAAACTAAAATGGCAATAAAGGAATGACCATGAAGCCGTGTAATCAGAGAATGATCAGCCGTAAATTGCAAAAAACCAAGATAGTGTAAGGTGGAGCTAAACTTAGCAAACCATTACCGAGAGGCCTGTTTAAGACCGTATAAAGACTTTTGTAATTTGTAAACAGGATTAGGAGGAAGAGACTCCCCCTAAATGGGATAACCCTGAGGCAGCCGCATGTAGACCTCCTCATAGAGATCACCATGTAAAAAATTATTGTTAACATTAACTTGAATGAGGTTCCAACCCTTTATAGCATCTATAGCAGCCCTCACTGTCAAAATAGGTGACAATAATTAACTAAGTGTTTAAGTGAATTAAACACGTATTCAAGGAAACGGTAAACGGTAAATCATATGATTGACATGATAAATAAGTTAAGAATACAGTTCATGCCAGATAAGTCTAATAGGATCCTAACATAACTATAAGATATATGTGGGGACATAGATGTCATTATGTGAAAAGTCAGGATTAGTTTGGTAATTGACCAAGGTTAGGTCAAAGCTTGATTTTGATGATGTAATTAAATTCTATAGTTACTTTCCTGAGTTCAAATTGATCTTATTTTGATCAAATAATGTCAAGGGTTTTGATGGTTCAAATTCTATAGTTACCACCTTATGTGTGCTCAGTTCTGCACAAGATCATACATTGTCTTTGTTGTTGGAATGTTAGAGAGATATTAGAGTTATTTAGGCTTATATCACTGGAAAGTTGCAAAGAAAGTGATGAGAAGACTACATGCTTATGTACTTATGAATTGATAATTTATAACTTATTGACTATTCTGATTTAGACTACACTGACTACATTAATTTGCAAAATCAAATCTAATGATATGTCTTTATGTTATCTTGTGGAACTATATCTTGGAGAAGTGCCAAGTAGACTCTAACTTCTATTTCTACAATGGAGGGTGGGTTTGTATTTGGTTTTGAGGCTATCTCACCTCGTGTACAAATGATATGTTTCTTTTTTGGACTAAGTTATGGATTCAATTCTTAGGCCATTGAGGATATATCATGAAAATAACTGTTGTTTTTATGGCTAAAAACAACAAAAGTGATAGTCGAAACAAGCACATCGACATTAAGTATTTGGCCATAAAAAACTTGTTACAAATAAAATAGTGCTAATTCAACAAATTAACACCGAATTGATGATTGCTGATCTATTAACAAAAGTCTTAGCATCATTGAAATTCAAAGAAAATGTAGATAGAATGAGACTTGGTTCCTTTGTATGATTTTCAGTGTAACAATAATGTCATTTGAATGGAACTGTATTTGTGATATTTTCTTATTTCAATTTTGTGTACACTTTCCTTTATTCATTTTGAGAGATATCATTGAAACTTGGTCCTAAAATAAATATGGGATTTATTCATTAAGTAAATGGACTTGAGGAACAAAATGTATTGGGATAAATGAAAGATAATATTCACTTTTTTAGAGGACTTATTACAATGATTCTTATATTTTGTTTCCCACTTTTGTATATGACAGAATATGTGGACCAAATGAAAGAATATTTAAATTAAATTAATCTTTTAGTAACTTTGGTAACCAATTAAAAGACCAATGAAGAATTCACTAGGCTAGCCTAGTGGGTGATGAGGGGTGGGTAGTACGTAGTAGATGTTGTGTTGGATTCTCAATGTATTTTTTTTTTTAAAAAAAAAAGACCAATCAAGATGTGGTCCATGGCTCATTCCTTCGCTTTAGCAACATCAGAAAACTACCTTCAGCAATTGCCGACTATATTTCAACGGGACACAACTGCCTCTCCGAGGAATTACTTAAGGGTGTGCACTAAAGTTTTTTGGTCCCTAATATCTCTCTTGCATTTTGTTGTCATGCACAGCTTTTACCATGAGAGAGAATTTAAAAGAGCCATTATAACTTAGATTCTTTAGCAACCCAAACCGGAGCAATGGCTAGAAAAATTTTGATTCCCTGTAATTTATTCCATATGAATCTAATTGTTATCTATTTATATAAACCTGATTAGAACGCTTTAGTTTTCTCTTTCATGAAATTAAAATTTGAGGAGAAGCTACTAGTGGTATGTGTTTAATGGTCAAGGAAATATACTCAAATTTGTAAGATCAGAAAATAGTAATTGACTGGAGGTGACAGAAACAAATTTGCGATATGGCAAAAATGCTGATAAAGTAGCTAAGCAGTCAATGATATAGCTTGCGCTTCAAATTTAATATATTATAAATAGATTATGGTGTTCGATAATATCCAATCCCATAAGATTTATTTATTTTTATTTTTTTGGAGATCCAATCCCATTATATGTTAAGCTTATGAAGGGATCATACAGTTACTAACTAAATATTATGAAGTAACATATTAGATTTCTTCTTAATCAATTTATTCTCACATTCAATTTTGTGCTTATTTATCAGCATTTTTTTCTTCACAATTAGATGGTTTGAGGTTTCTTTTAGTGGGGCAATAGTACTAATTCGTATACCACCACCACATATGTCGCCATCACATTTTGGTACAGGCATTGATTCTCCCATACAACCTAGCTAGATTTGCGTGGAACCTAAAAACTTTGCTTATTCATTCTGATGCGTGGGTATTATTTTGATACCTATGTTTTTTTTTTAATTTTTTCCATGATATTTGGTGAATTTCAAGTTTTTATTGTGAGAATTAATAACGAATAAAATGTTTGACAACTAATCAAAAAATTGCTACTCATGAAAAACCAAAGTATCATACCAACTCTCCACCAAACACTAGATTAATTAGTAAGAGGTTGCTTCAGCTTATCCAGTGATCTCGAAATTCGAGTCTTGAGTTGATAGGAAAATTTTGTCGCTTTTGTCATCCTACTTAATCATTCATCATATGGATGTGATTATCAGAAGTTACTGATGAAATGAACGGTCACCATGTATACCTAATTCTGATAAGTCTCGGACCCTTCAGCTTAATTGTATACCCAAATGAACTCTAAAGCTAAACATTGAAAAATTCGTCCTTGTGTTTTCCTAAAAATAGTTTAACTTATGTACAAGTATAACTCAAAAAAAAGTAAAACCAAATTCAAAAGTAAAGACAACACTTTATGTACAATTAGACTGCTTTGTCAACAAGTTGGGTTTAACAGGGCCCACATTTTTATTAATGGGAAGTGAAATGCTAGTGATAGTTGGCTCTTTAAAACCAAAAGGAACCCATAAACCTTTTGTGATAAACACAAGCACTAGCTACACCACCACCAAAATACCATCATCAAAAGCCTTGTAGAGAGAGTTATCAGCACTTCAAACCCTTTTCTTTTCTCTTCAGACTTCAAAAATCTCTGTATTCTATAATACATAAACAAGATTTGGACTAGATACTAATTTTAGTTCTTGCTGCTAGCTATAACATACAGGTATAGTTGGAGATGTGGCATCTTGTAGCTGCAGTGACAAGGAAACTTCAGAACACAAACAAGGGTTCAAGGGTGGCTGATGAGAACATGTTTGAAGCAGGAAACGAGGTTGAACTACCTATGTTTCGACGTGACAGAGGAAGAAGACAACATGGTTGGAGTGGATTCTCGCTTATATATAGCATTCTTCATGCTCCCATATCAATTCTCTCATGTGTGTCTAATCCTCAAGCTAATGGGTCAGACGGAGTTTGGGTATCTGCTGAATTTGCACAGGTTTCTGAAATGAATCATCTTATGGTAAATGATAGCATGAGATATGCAATTTTGATGTAGAAATTTAATATGAATATACATGTTGTAATTCGCTTGGGTTTCTCTTAAGGACTATACGCGTTAGAATGGACAAGTTTTCTTTACCTCAATTTTCCTTTCTTATATTTTGTTAAGACATGTAGCAGCGATGAGGCTGTTCCTTGTAATTCTGGAAGGTTATATGTTAGAGTTTGAGAAATAATTTCTTTTCCAAATACAAGGGTAAGGCACCCTTATCCCTACTCTCTACGATGGAGAGCCTTGTAGATCGGGGTCTTTTTTTTGTATATATTTTCTCTGTTCATAGTTTGGATCATACTAAATACAATTGGTGATTGCATGGATTGACCAAGGATATGGCCGATCTTCTTCCTCTTTGCCAAGTATATATTTTCTCAAAATTTTAAAAGGAACATATTTAATTTGTTAGTGTTGAAAACTTGAAAGTTATGGCCTGATTCTCGTCCCCAAAAGAAAGAGAAAATATCAAAAAAGGAAAATGTTTTTTTAGCATTGAAGATTTGAAATATTTGGCCTCATACTTGTCCTGCAAAGAAAGAGAATATATTAAAGGAATTTGGCTTTAAGTTGTACATTAAAGGAGTATTGATATAAAAGAAAATGGGCCACTTTGTCTTGGAATGGTTGATTAATGTTTTAAATTTTTTGCTTCTTTTATGTTCTTAAAGCTCAACTTTGAAAAATGTTTACATATATGGGTTTGGTTTTTTTTTTTTCTGATATTATGAATCATACCAAGTTGGGAGAAGCCTCAAAGGATTCCCCAGAGGGAAAGAGAATTAAAGGATGCCCATAGGAAAAGATAAAACGACAAAGTAATTAATCAAAAGGTATCCAAACAAATTGAATAATATTCAAACACACAAGTATGAAGTGGGTAGTTGGAATTCAGCTTGGTTCACTTTAGTTGTTGTCGGTATATATGTTTAAGGATCAGTGGGATTCTCTTTTCTTATCAATTAGATTTTAATTATGGTTTTCATAATTAGCCACTATGATTTTCAGTTAGTCCCAGCAACATACCATTCTATGTCATCCAATTATGTTTTTTTAAATTAAAATAAGTCAATACATATTTCCCTTATAATAATCTCTTTGATTTTAATTAATAACCAAATTGATGTTAAAAAATGACTATCAATATACAGCGAGAATATAAATAAATAAGCTGATTTTATATGGCAATTTTTTGGTTGGCTTCAAATTACATTTTGAGCCAAAAAAAAAATGCTTGAATTACGAAATGTAACATATTCTTGTAGCTTGCGAATATAATTTTAAGATTGGTAATATTATGTGAGCTCACATGATTCATATTTTTCGCAATAACTCATGAAAATTTAGAATAATCTCTGGTTATTGGTTAAAACTGAATAAACTAATTATATATAGCGTAATGAACTAAAATTACAAAATAATGTAGTTGACAAGATAAATCAGCATAAGTACATAGAATTTCTCATTGATGTCAGACAACAGTGAATGTGAAGGTGAATTCGGAAGTTTACTCGTCGTAAAGAAAGAAAGAGTAAATATATTTTTTGGTCGTCAGCAAATTTCACGATGTCCGTTTTAGTCCTTAGCAAATAAAAAGCCTATTCGTGGTCCCTAAAAAATTCAAAATGGACTCATTTAATTGAAATCGTGGTCCCTTATAAATTCCAAAAAGATCCATATTAGTTCCTCAAAAGGACTAAAATGGGTCCACTTTGAATTTCTTAGGGACCACGAATAGCCTTTTTATTTCCTAGGGACTAAAATGGGCATCGTAAAATTTGCTGAGGACCAAAAAAGGTATTTACAAAGAAAGGCTTCATTTAGGCTTGTTGTACTTAAAATCAAGAGTAAATACCTTTTTTGATCCCTAACAAAAAACACGGTACTCACTTTAGTCCCTTACAAAAAAAAATTAGTTTCGAGGTTCCTAACAAATTCAAAGTGGACTCATTTAGTTGAAATCGTGGTCCCTCACTAATTCAAAAAAGACCCATATTAGTCCCTCAAAAGGACTAAAATGGGTCTACTTTGAATTTCATAGGGACCAACTGACTAATTTTTTTTTTGTAAAGGATTAAATGGGGTGTTTGATGGGACAAAAATCCGTGCCCATCTAAGCCCATTTTGATGGCAAAATGCCATCCGTTTCCTCACCTGATGAGCAACTTTAGCACTAAAAGCACATGTTTAATATCTTTTTGACAAAAACACAGTGGGGAACGGATGGTTACGTAAGTCTTTGGAAAATATATAAAGGGAAACGGATTTGGAACAATAAGTACACCTGCTCCACTCATTTAATATTTCTGACCACTTTGCAGGAAACGTTGGAAAGAAGTTTCCATAAAGCATAAGCGGTGCAACAATCAAGCAAGAGGAAACATGCACGGTAGAGAATAAACGGTTCCTATTGGTTAAAAAGGAAAGCAAGGCATGAGGATGATCAAAAGGAAAGACAAATCTCAACAATAATTGTCTCATCCAGCCACTTGCGCCCCTCAAAGCACTGTTCACACCTCCCCTTCCATGCAGTCAAGAAAATAACTCCAAGAGATTTACAAGCTTGCCATTCACTCTTCTGCCTATAAATAAGACGTCCCAGCACGAAGACAAGGATCGAATTCCTTAAGAAGAGATCTCTTAGTTTATTTTATAGTTTTCTTTGTATTTTTGTATAGTTTTAACTTTAGTTAAGTGACAACACTTCTTCTTCATTCAGTATCACCCACTTGAGACTCCTCACGAGCAACAACCATATTCTCGATATTTCATTTCGTTGTAATCAAGTTATTTTCATTTAAATACAAGTGTTCTTTATCCCCTTTCCATTCGTTATCTCTGAACTAAATCTCGAGTCTATGGGACTTCGGTTTGGAATAATTATGTTTAAACTAGTAGCCATGGGCTAAACTATCTGTGGAACGAAAAAAATGCAAAGTTCTTAAAGACTTATTTTCGAAACTTTTGTATTTAAGCTTTTGGATTTCTCTGGTTAAGTAAGCTATATTCATTGTGTATCAATGGAAATTGAACACATACTGAGAAAGGAACTTCCATAAGAAAGGGATTTCAGACAGCTTAACTAGAGGGGGAAGGTGGTGTTATGGAAACAACACTGCTGGTTGCCTTAGGAATAAGGGGCCACCTCGTTCATTTTAAGGTCATGTACCCAGTACCTGTTGGAGTCAAGGGAGCCATAGGAATATGGAAACTTGTGAGAGGAATCAGACGTTGGCAGTTATTACTATTGTTATTACTATTGTTATTTGTTCAATCTTGTATCTATAACTCTCCCATGAATATTGCTTTTCCTTCTCTCAACAAGAAGGGTATCATACATAACGAAGCGATGAACTATTTTCTGTCAGATTGAACCTACTATCCTTAAGGAACGTTGTCAAGATAGTAGGGAACGTTTGACCAGACAGGTCAATTACTAACTTTTCTTTTCATTTTCATTCTTTGTAAAATAGTATAAGGCATTAATTAGAGTTCCATCCTCATGGGAACGATAATCTGGGCATTAATACTCCCATTTATTACTTGATGCGTGCTCTTGCGCACTTGGGTTGAAACTAAGAGAGCAACTGTGTTCTTTCTTAGTGAACTGAGGAACGTCTTCATCATAATATATTTTTCACCCAACAGCTTTTGACCCAACAGGCAGCAACGGTGGGTCTTGGACGCGACAAAGATCTGGCACCGTAACAAATCAGACATGGCCAGATTCACAGGTACGAACAAGACGTTTGGAGGAGCTGAATCGTAGTGAAGAAGGTTCATTTTGGTGTTGGTGGTGATCTGAGTTGAGCATATCTAAAGTCGTGAGGTGGAGAGTTCATCGATTTGAATGAAATAAAATTGAATAGGGCCAACAACTGAACAAAAAAAATGTATTAGATCTGAAAGGAGTGGAAAAAATAGATTGAAAACGAAATAGGGATCTTAAATCCCACCAAGCCATTGTCTGAAGCAACGAAAACCACTGAGGAACACGTAGAGATAAAAGGTTTTCGGGAAAGCCATTGAAGAAGACGGCCCGAAACCAAAATTAAAAAATAAAATGGACATAGAAAAACAAAGGAGAAAGAGTAGCTTTGATGATAAAAATAAAATTCAAAGATCGGGATCAGATCCGGAAGAAAGGAAATAAAGAAAAAAAAGTAGTGATTGTAGCGGAATCTCCATTCATGGAGGATAAAAATGCTTTCATACCATATTAGAAGGTAAAAGAGAGAAAAAGGAAAATATTGATTTCATTGATTGGTTGATTAATTTGTATAGATGGGGCTCTTATATAAAAGAGCATAACTATAAAATAGAAAGATCTAGAATATCTCAACTAAAAATGAAATAAAATATTTATATCTCTAATAAAAAGCTTCATCCCGAGGCTTACCATATTATGTTATCCTAGATATGGGAATAAATTCTAGAAATTATCCTGAACACTCTTAAATTGGAAGACGCTAATATGTTACCCACATGAATTCGAAGGCCATGATTATTGTGATTATTAGATTAGTCTTATTTGAGTGGGGTAAGACCAATAGGTGGGAAAGTTCTCCCCAAAATTTTAGCACAGCTGTGTTTGCGTTTCCAAGGACTCGAACTTAATACCGCTAGTTAAGCTGGAACAACCTCATACCAGTTAATCCACGTGCTTTATGGTTCATAAAGTCATTCATTTTCCTCACTTTTAGTGATAGCACATATTTGATATTTGATGTAACTCCCTCTCCTTCTTCGTTACAATTCTCAGATCTAGTTCCTACAATTGGTGCTTTCGTTCTGTCTCAACTCCTGCTATGGCAAAGAATACACGCATGAGAGAAATTTAGCAACGTTTAGATACCTTAGAGCAGCAGTTTCGCGCTGCTGAATTAGTGTGGGAACAACAATTCGTGTCACTGCAAGAATCTAACTCTCAATTTCGGGAATCACAAATCCAGATGCAAGACTCTCAAAACCGTCTTCATCAGGATCTTGCTCGTTTGCTGGATATCCAGCAATCTTCCCCAATTGCTACAGGGATTCTTGGATCTGGTCCTTCTACTAGATCTGCCACTGGATCTGAAGTGCACCACTTCAGGCAGGTCCAGTTAGATTTTCCCAGATCTGCTTCTGGTGATCCAACCACGTGGATTATAGCTGTTGAAAGCTATTTTGCGTTTTATCAAGTTCCCATTCCTGATCGTTTAAACTTAACAGCATTTCATCTGACTGATCCTGCCGACAGCTGGTTCTATGGGGCTCATCAAAACGGACTCATGACTGATTGGGAAACGTTCTGTATTGCATTACAAAGTCGTTTTGGTGCCTCGAAATTTGATGACCCAGCGGGAACCCTAGCCAAAATTCAACAATCGGGGTCTCTTTTGGAATATTAATCCTCTTTTGAGAAATTGGTAAGCCGAGTTCCTGGTCTTTCGGCAATGTTAACTCGTAGTATTTTCATTTCCGGTCTCAAACCCCATATAAGACGCTCTGTTCTTACACATCGCCCCCTGGATTATCATGAAGCGTACTCATTGGCTAGAGTTTATGAAGATCAATTGAATGACAATAAACCATACCGTCCCTGGACCAATTCCCCTAAGCCATCTGTGACCCATACTTCACATTCCATTATCCCAGCCTTACCTACTACACCCACTACAACATCCTCTCCCATCCCAGCCATTCCTATTAAACGCCTCACCCCTGCTTAAAGACAATTGAGACGTGAGAAAAATCTATGTTATAGTTGTGATGAGCCTTATTCTTTTGGCCACAAGTGTAAAGGGCGGGCCACATTATTGTATTTGGAAGGCACAGAAGATGACCAGAAGCGATCATATCCCATCTAAGTTAGGCCAGCCTCTTTTTGGGGTTCCATACTTTGGGATACCCAGGGCCAGACTCAGGCCCACCCGTGGAGGACTCCGCTACTGATCTTACTTCCCCCGGAATCAGTTTTAATGCCCTCTTTGGCAACCACAACTCCAGATCTTTTCGTTTATCGAGTACAATCCAAGGTAAAGCAGTTCAAATTCTAGTAGATGGGGGTAGCACCCACAACTTTATCACTGCTCGTATGGCCACATTCCTCAATTTAACTATGCATCACATTACTCCATTCCAAGTCCATGTTGGCAATGGAGACACACTCTAATGTACTGCTTCCTGTTATCAAGTACAATTATCTTTGCAATGTCACTTGTTTGTGCTGGAGCTATTTCTCCTCGACCTCAAGGGTGCTGATGTGGTTTTAGGAGTCCATTGGTTAGCAACATTAGGCCCTATTGTCACCGATTATGCTCAAATGACGATGTCTTTTGTTCACCAAGGCCGCACTGTTCTTCTTAAGGGTGACACTGCTCTCACTCCAGTTCCCATTACCCATGCCCAACTGCACAAATTAATGACCCATAATTCAGTTTCATCTTATTTTATGTGTCTTTCCAGCCCTGTTACTTCACCGCCAATCACCCATATCCCACCATCTATCCAAAACATTCTACATCAATTTCAAGATGTTTTCCAAATTCCTAAATCCTTATCTCCTGACCGATCCTCCAATCATCACAGTAACCTTCTTCCTACATCCAAACTGATCCAAGTTAAACCATACAGATACCCTTATTTTCAGAAATCCGAAATTGAGAAAATGGTCAGTGAAATGTTGGGCAGTGGACTGATCCAACCAAGCCAATCACCCTTTAGCTCTCCGGTCCTATTAGTTCGCAAAAAGGACGGTACATGGCACTTTTGTGTGGACTACCGAGCGCTCAATGCTATCACGGTGCCTGATAAGTTTCCTATTCCTACAGTGGATGAATTACTAGATGAATTGCATGGCGCTCATATCTTCTCTAAGTTGGATCTTAGATAAGGCTACCACCAAATTAAAATGGCCCCAGCAGATACACACAAGACGGCTTTTAGAACTCATACTGGGCATTTTGAGTTTCTTGTTATGCCCTTTGGGCTCTCCAATGCCCCCTCTACATTCCAGGCCACCATGAACCATGTTTTCACATGCCTATTAAGACGATTTGTTGTCATTTTTTTTTTACGACATTCTCGTTTATAGTCCTTCTTTACAGGAACATGAGAACCACTTACAGCAGGTTCTCCAAATCCTCCGCCAGCACAGATTTTTTGCTAAGCTAACAAAATGTACGTTTGTTGTGCAGGAAATTCAGTTTTTAGGTCATGTTATTACAGCTGCTGGTGTATCCCCTGATCCATCTAAGGTGCTGGCCATTAATGCTTGGCCTATTCCTACAAATGTAACTCAATTAAGGGCCTTCTTGGGGTTATCTGGATACTACCACCGTTTCATTAGAGGTTACGCGATGGTGGCAGCTCCACTTACTGATCTATTGGTTAAGGATGCTTTTGTTTGGTCTAGTGAGGCTACTCAAGCTTTTACGGCTTTACAATAATTACTTACTCAGGCTCCCTTCTTAGCCTTACCGGACTTCACAAAGCCGTTTGTTCTAGAGACAGATGCCTCAGGAGTGGGGGTAGGGGAAGTTCTTCTGCAAGAGAACCACCCCATCGCTTTTTTTAGTCGTAAGCTTTCTAAATTCATGCAATCCAAGTCTACATATCTCCGGGAAATGTTTGCCATCACCTCAGCATTGGCAAAGTGGCGACAATGCTTATTGGGGTCGTGCTTTATCATTAAAACTGATCATAAAAGCCTCCATCACTTAATGTGTCTAAAGTGATTCAAACACCAGATCAACAACAATTCCTTGCCAAATTATTGGGATTCAACTTTTCCATCTAGTATAAATCGGGAAAAGCGAATACAGTAGCTGACGCTCTTTCGCGTCAGACTGAAAGGGATCATGAACCACTTTCCCCAACGTTAATGGTTTTCAGTGTTCCTACTTCTTAATATGGTCCCATAATACAGTCCGAGTTACAGACGGATTCCTATGCTACTCAAGTTTTACAAGGTATACAATCCGAGCCTTCTCACTGGCCTCAGTGGAGAGTCCACAACGGACTGTTATTCCATCGGCAGCGGCTGTTCATTCCGGCAAAGTCTTCCATGATCCCAGTTTTACTTCACGACTTCTACTCTTCCAAAATTGGAGGTCATGCCGGCGTTTGACGCACACTGTTGCGGCTGAGCACTAATTTCACCTGGAAGACAATCACACATGACGTTCAGCAATACGTCAAAAATTGTGAAATATGTCAAAAATCTAAAGCACCTAACCATTTACCTTATGGTCTATTACAACCACTTTCCATACCTGATGCTATCTGGTCAGATCTATCGATGGACTTTGTCACTCATCTACCTCCATCAGTAGGGTTTACCAGCATCTTGGTCGTCGTTGACAGATTAACAAAAGGAGCTCATTTTGCACCACTCCCTCCTAAGTATTCTGCCTCGAAAGTTGCTCAGGTCTTCTGGGACTACGTGGGCAAACTACATGGCATCCCCAAGTCCATTGTCAGTGACCGCGATCCCATTTTCCTCAGTGAGTTCTGGAAGTCGCTTTTCTCGTTGCAAGGTACCTCATTGCACTACAGCTCTGTGTACCACCCCCAGTCCGATGGGCAAACGGATTGAGTCAATCGCATCCTGGAACAATATTTACGTTGTTTTGTGCACGAAAGTCCCTCTAGTTGGCACCGTTTCTTAAGCTGGGCGGAATTTCACTTCAGTACTGCCCACAATCGCTCCATGGGTACATCTCCCTTCCAGGTAACCTATGGCAGAAGCCCACCATGTCTGCTCGAGTATACCCTGGGATCCACTACAGTTGACGCGGTTGAGACTGATCTCCTCCAACGGTCAGTGATCCTTGCAACATTAAAGCAAAATTTAGAAAAAGCACAAGCTCAAATGAAGTCTCAAGCGGATCGTAAACGTAAAGCTATTACCTTTAGCGTCGGAGATCAAGTTCTGCTCCGTCTTCAACCCTTCCGTCAACTTTCAGTTCACCGTCGATCCTCCCATAAACTAAGTTTGCGTTTTTACAGGCCGTTTGAGATTCTGGAACGAGTTGCCAGCGTTGCTTATTGCCTACAACTTCCTCCAGGTTCGCGTGTCCACCCAGTTTTTCATGCTTCCCTCTTGCGGCCTTTCTGTTCCTCAGGCAGCTACAAAATACATGACTTAGCAGCAACAACCCGAAGCATTCCTCCATCCCACGTTCCAGCAGCTATTATTTCTCAACATACCATTTGGAGAAATGGATGGCAAGTCCCACAGGTTTTGGTCCAGTGGGAGGGGTTATTACAAGAGGACTCCACTTGGGAGGATACTTCTCTTGTGGTCTCTGATTCGCTTACAAAGCACTCTCCTTTGGTCACTTCGAATGTTGCAAAAGACATAGAAAAGCTACAGCCTATTAATGTTCAACCCCACTCATCTGACCCCACCGCCTTGCCCTCCAATCAGAATGGAGATACGCGGATTTTTATCTCTTCCACACAGCAGCACGTGCTTCCAGCTGTCCCTACATCCCATCAACCACAGTTGTTCCCCACCGACGTTCCAGATCCTTCTCCCAAAGTCACCACCTCAGCTACTGATGATATGGGCCTCGAGGTCGAGTCCAGTTCTAATGGGGAGGGAAATGTTGGGCTAACTGATGATAAGCCCAAACGCATGAGGAGAAGACCCACTTACTTAGCAGACTATTGTTAAGAGTCCAGTTCAATATGTCTAGTTAAGATAATTAGAAATTGACAGTAAAAGAAAATACAATGTAAACGATGAGAGTATAAAAGCCCAAGAAGGGTGTAAATGAAAATTACGAAAAGCTTTGACAAATTCTCACTCTATCCTACTTCTCTCTAAACTCCCTCTCCTTCTTCATTACAATTCTCAGATCTAGTTCCTACAGTGAGCGCAACAAACATCTCTCTATTCTTTTCTTTTTTTTCAAAGATGTCTCTATTCATTTAGATGAGACAAATCCCCTTTGTGGCATAGAACACAAATTTTTTTGTCGTTAGCCCTAAATTGCTTCGCCTAAAAATTAAATCAGAGGTCTTTCAACTCCAGCAACCCATTCCTTAAGCACAGCTTGCCTACGAGCTGTACCACTCTTGGGGTTAAATATATAACCTCTTTATTTCCTATTAGTTTACTTATAAAAGAATAGACGGATTGTGCTTAATTTTTTTTAGCATTTGCTAGTCACTTCCTAACATGCATTACTAACAAATAATATTCGTTGTGTGCGACGTAAGTATACTTGCTATTATTGTTTTGGCAATAACATGATCAGAACGAGTATACAGCAAGGAAATAGATTAAGGAGAGAGCCGATATATTTTAAAAAATGGGGTGAAAATGACATGAATGGAGGAAATGGATTGAGAAGAATATAAGAAATAAAGATTGTGATTAGACATTTGCACAGAATAAGTGGGAAACATTGGAAAGTAGTGAACTATTATGCCTTTTAACATGTATTGATTGTCTTAATTTGAATCTGAAGCCAACGTGCATTAGTGGTTGTCTATGCTTGAGGAGCATATTTTCAATTATAGCCGCCAAAATGGGCTCAACTCAGCGGGTCAACCCGCTAAACGGGACAGGACGAACTGAGTTTTTTAACCCATCTCAAAAGTGGGACGGGCTCATTTTTTTGCGGGTTGATAGCAAACATAGGTGGGCTGAGGCGAGTCAGTGTAAAATAGGCTCGGGCTGGCGGGCCAACCCGCCAAACGGGGCGGGGCGAGCTGAGTTTGTCAGCCCACTTTCAAAAGCGAGACGGGGCGAGCTTACTCATTTTTTGGCAGGTTGATGGCGGAGTGAGGCGGGACGAAGCGGTACGGGCCGCCCACTTTTCCACCTCTATTTTCAATACAGCGGGGGTAAGTACTTTCTTATCAAAAGGAAAAAAATATATATATATATAGAATGAAATAATCATAAAAATAAAAATAGTATAAATATATTACTTTTTCATATTTATTAAAGAATATATCTAGTGGTTTGTATATTCGTAATAATGAAAATATTTTCATGTTTGAGACTGCTACGCATACAATATAGTGTAATTTTTAGTAATTAGGTTCTGATTTTTTGTCAGTTAAATTGATGATCAAATCAGCTATTCAATATTTTATATTCTTTTATGGTTTGTTACGTTGTTTCAAACACCACTTCTATTGTATATACAATAAAGGGGGGAAGGGGTGAAAAGGAAAAGAATGGAGGAAATGGAGAATAATATAAGAAATAAAGAATGTGATTAGACATTTGTAGAGGGCAAGTGGAAAACAAGAAAGATAGTCAACTGCTACGCCTTTTATCATGTCTTCATTTTCTTAATTTGAATCTGAAGCCATCGTAATGTGATTAGACATTTGTAGAGGGCAAGTGGAAAACAAGGAAGATAGTCAACTGCTACGCCTTTTATCATGTCTTCATTTTCTTAATTTGAATCTGAAGCCATCGTGCATTAGTGGTTGTTTCCGTTTGTGACTGTTGCACGTTCCATATAATATAACTTTTAATAATTGGGTTCTGATTTTATTTGGGGTTAAATTAATCATATCAAATTAACTATTCAATTTCTAATATCCAAAAAAAAATTAACTATTCAATTTCTTGTTGCGTATTACTCATATTTCGCATTCATATTTTAATTTTTTTTGTTGTAGTTTGAGCTTAGGCCCGTGAATAGTTGTTATTATGATTTTCTAAATTCTATTTATATTCCCTTAATTATAAATCAAATGACTTGTAACGAACTACGGTGAGATAAATATAGTATAGACAAGTTAGATGTAGCTTATATTGGATGAATCAGGATAAACCTTTGTGTGATTTTATCTTTCCTTTCTCTTTTCTATTTTCTTGATTTGTGCAATTTGTGTGTGTCGATTTCCAACATCTATGACATTAACAAAATCAACATTAACGACATTTTTGTTCATGGTCACGTTATTTGATGAACCATTTCTATTATATGTGCAATGCATTAAATGACAGAAAAAGAAAGAAATGAATGGTACCTGATAAAATCAAAGAATATATATATTCTTGTTATAACAATTTACTTATCTTGCATATGTGGATTCGTCTATAAATTACATGTCAAGCGCAGGTATAAGCAATATGGGTATTTGTTTGTGTATAAATATTTATAAGATGATTGTTTAACTGAATCACAATCTGATTTGGATACCTAGATCCAATAAAGATGGTGAATTTCATTTCAACACTTAAGTAAGGTATTGGCGGTAGAAGTAACTGCATACGAGCAGCCTCTTATATATAGAATACGATGGTTATTGGGATAAGACGTGTGCTGGATATCTTGTTATTAGATACACTGATGGGTGTGGGCCTTGAATGAGCATTCAATGTCTTCCTGGGCTTCGATTAATATTTACAGCCCCTTTATCAGATAATGGGAGTGCTTATGAGGGTGAAATATATATATATATATATATATATATATATATATATATATATATATTTTCACTGCAGAAAACATAAATCCTTTCACGTAAATACTTTTCCCATTTGACTTTTGCTAATGGTTGAACTGAATCGTGAAAGGCAGGTTCACCGTGGTTGGGGACGAGGAGTCGTCGCCCTTGAGATCGAGAATGAACAATCGCTTCTAACAGACCTTAAGTTAGAGAATGAAGAGATGTGACATGGAATGAGAAACTGGAATCGAAACTTGCACAATCTCAATTTGTCCTTTCAGACCAAAGATGAGATGAAGTTGGGGGATGTACGTATCTGATGACTGTTGGTTTGCTTTTTTAAAAAGTATAGAATTCAAAAAGAATTCAAGTATCGTTTCGCAGGGAACGGGAAATTTAATTTCTTTCGTTTATCTTTTTTAAGTTTTCTTGAAGATGAATGTAATTGCTTAAAGAATCTATTTTCTAAAATGTATACTATATCAAGAATAGTAAGAACACGTTTAATTGAGTTTAGAATCAAGATTAAAACTCTAGAATTCTGATTTCAATGACTTTTCCTTAAAAGTTGCATGTCTGCGTTTTAACTGTTGATGCAAAGAATGAATAAGGGTTGGCTTGATGCCAAGAAGAAGCTGGTGGAGGAATAACGGCAGCTAAATCATCTACTGCACATTAGTACGTATTAGGCAAATGCGATTTTTCTTTCCTAGGCTCAGGAGCGTAGTCAGAGGATCAAAAGGGGGTTAGGGTCAGTCCAATTGCATTAATAGCATCTTCTTCTTATAAAAGCTTCTTCCACTTCCTTATAGCATCTATCTTGATGGAATCTGACTTTTATAGAACTTAACTAAACTTTCCTAAATTCAGTTCTAAAATGATTCAACTTAATCCCTTAATCTTGAATCAGTTCATTGATGACTTATAATCAAATTATTTCCCAGATTATTCCTAATCATGGAATCTTGAATTAATGAAATCATAAACTCAAATTTCCCAATTCAAGTTTATGCAAGAATTGTTAAGCCCATTCCCATGGAACTTAAACCAAAATAATTTCATTAATCAAACATCAAGAAAATGCACAGCAGTTGGAATCGATTAATGAGTACTTATCATCTTCAACAGAATTCTAGAAAATGAAATTAGCAATGCATGTTGAAGATTAAAGCAAGAATGAAAATTAACATAAACAGTACGAGTTGAAGGTACAGACCAATATGGTTCTTCAATTTCAAATTGCTACGACTAAGAAAAACTACAGGACGATGTTACAGATCCAAAAAGCATGCATGCATAATTCCTTTCCTCTTGAATCCCTTCAAGAATGAAGTCCTTCGTGCATGTATCTCGAAGAATCTTTCAAAGGAAATTTAAAATGTAAAATGATTACAACGAAAAACTGAATTCAATGAAATTCTGAGTTCTCTTCCATTACAAAGCTAAGACTCTGATTTTTAAAACTAAAGCTTCAAGTAACTGTTGTCCCTTACATCAAACAAGCATCTAATGATCCTCACATTGCCATCTGATCTTCTTTATTCTTTTTTTATCTGCCATGTGTCCTTTTTTGCAGTAAAATATGAAAAATAATTAGTGAAAAGTTAAATTCCCTTTTTCTACTTGTTTTTACCAACTTGGGCTTACTTCTTTAAGTTTGGCCCAATTTCACCTGCACTTTGACAAAATGAGCCAATAAAATATAGGAGAAGTACTACTAATGTAAGTAGAAATTAAGACTAACAAAATACCCCAAACTTAGGTTATTGCTTGTCCACAAGCAATCAAGTAGTTCTCAAGCAATTGTCAGCTATTTTCCTTTCCACCATTTCAGTTTAATCAGTCAATCGAAATAGTGTTTAGACATTTAATTTTCCATTTATCATTATACATCACAACCTTTAATTTTAATTAGCCTTATTGCCAATTAATATCTATATCAGGTTGGTGATTCAATTCAAACTAACCTATCAATTAAACAAACAGAAAGCAATGTTATTGTAACATCCCACATAATTAGGAACGCATGTAAACTGTCATTAGTAATGTTAGTACATCTTTTGACTTCGAATTCTATGCGAATATACTTAGGGTGGAATTAAATTGGAGTAGGAAAAGTATTATTGTAACATCTCACTGTAACATCCCGCGAAATTAAGAAGGCATCTAAATTACAATTAGGAGTATGGACACATGATTTAAATTCGAATTTCATAGGAATTTAGAATGGAATTGAATTAAATTAGGAAAAGT